ATATATATATATATATATATATATATATTATATAAAGATATATATATATATATATATAATGTTTGTCTATTTGTTTGTTTGTGTTTTTTTTTGCTCATTACTCTTTCTTACTTCTTTTTTAGAGAGAGAGGGGGCAAGAGGGGCGGATCGTTTGTTATTGTATTATTAACTGAGGTTATGTAAGTTAAAGTTCTGTGTATTTGATTAGGTTTGATTATTTCAATTTGTAAATGTTTCTAGTTTTTACTTCTATGTTTTTATTTTTGGTCAGACAACACTTATGCAAAATTATGGAAACTTTGTTAAACTTGGCACTCTCTGTATGAGCTTTACTGCTTTCTCGGTGTGTTACTGATTGGGAATGGTTTAAAGATTTTTTTAACGTTTCAGGATTTTGCTGTACGCGTTGATCAAATATATTTTATAAGGGGAAAAAGTCTTAATTTTTAAATTTGTGAATAAATTATTATTTGTTGTTTTTGGCAACAGTGAAGCTGACGGTTGAAAAAATTTGCTTCAATTTTGTGAGGAAATTTTTTGAATCCTTTTGCAGCAGTAAATGAGATTTTTTTACATCGTTTTTGTGTAATAACGATGAACATCTTATTCATAATGAATGCTGCCTGATAAATTGTAAACTGTGCGTATAGCAGTTTTGGGAAGGCTTGTAAAGTAATTGTTAGACAGTCTTTCACAGATTTTGCCTGACGTCTTCTGCCGTCTCTTGATTTTTACAATTTTTCGATTCGATCAGCATGAATCTTGTGTACATTCTTCCTTGGCATAAAGGAGGCCAAGCGGAGGAGTGTTGTAGGGATGGGGGGTGAAGGTGGCATGTACAATTAGAGTTGAACCTTCATTGATGACTAGAGAGCATTAGAGGTATAACCATCTTAATAATTCAAGAATAAATTTCATTTTAGACGGCTTTCCGATGAACCATAACTCTATGAGTGCGGGACCTATTTCTCAGTCAAATGTTATGGGGAACGGCCATTTTCGAGGACAGCCTTTAAGCCATTCGAATCAGATGCAGATTCCGAACCATGCCGTACCAGAAGGGTATGTTTTTCTGCCACAGGTTTTACTCTCTTAATTACTACTACGCGTGATAGGTTAATAAGCTCCACACAAATGAGTTGTAGCCGTTGCTATGAGGTTGGCTGAAACTTTATGGCATCTGTACTTCGAGGATTAAAGCCAAGTTGTCTCACAGGAGGTGAGCAGCACCTGTCGTCTAACTTACCTATGGATGATATATCTAGCGTAATTAAGTAAATTTGACGTTTTTAACCATGGAAGGTGTTCACCGCTATTTGTTCAACTGCATTCAGTATAGTATTAAGGATATTCTTCCACAACTTTTTTAAGTGTAATGACAGTTTTTATTCGACTCATTCCCGCATTCACCTGTAAAAATATTATTATTTTCACACCTTGATTCTCTAAAATTCTTGTTATTTTTTTTTTGCCTGTTGTTGGGACAGCTAACTTCTTTAGGTTGGCTGTTTTGAGGTTTAAATTAAAAGTCTTTAGGTTTTATGCGGTACTAGACTTGTATATTAGGATTAGGTGTCGTAATGAGCTTCTCTGCTGACAATTACATTAGTGTTGGTTGGGCTTTAATTTAATTTATATCTACCTTTTCATAGGCATTATACTTGCGTTCTTTGTCCAGGACTGTGTAGTTTGAAGGTGTCGGAATTAGAGAACAATGTTTTAATAGTGCATACATGTGTGATTTTTGATATGTTATTATGTTTTTGGTAGCGAAAGAAATGCAAAGCTTATTTTTTCTTGCCCATTACTATTTTGTTTTGAATAGTGGTTTTTGGGATGCTTTTACTTGGGTTCTTTAATGGAGCTTTACTGAACGGACTAGTATGTTTTATAACGTTGTAAGGTCATCAAATTTTACCAGATATTCTGCCAGAGAGTTGGGGCAGTGTCTTATTTCTTTATTTTTATTTATGTATTTATTTTTTTGTTACTGTAATCTGGCCATCTATTTCTTTGCAGAAGCAAACACTTTCAAAAGAAATTACTTTTCATTTTTAAGTTTTAACTGAGAGAAAACAGAGCTACTCTACTCAATTAAGCTGTGTTTTTTGCTGAACTGAAGGTGCTGGACGTTTCATATAGCACTGACTATGAATTTTTAATTATAGCCTTCGTAAAACCTTTGCGGTTCTGTCTTGTTGTTCTGATTTTTCAGTTGTTGGGCTTGTAGTATACGAATTGTAGACGAGGTTCTGAAAAGCTTTTCATATGTTGTGGTAATTCATAATCTCGTGATAATATTGAATCGTCTGCTTTTGTTAAATAATCTGAATTTCCCAAATTTTTCCAAATTCAAGGCCCTTAAACCATTACATGCTTTCATTTCCGTCAAGAGATTTCATATTTGTCATTGCATTCTTTCTTCTAGTCTAAACGGTAACTTGATTAAAAGCATTTTATAGTAGAACCAACAAATTTACGGAATAAAATTTGCGCTACGACACTTTCAAAGTAACATCAAAATTTCCTTCTGGGTTACCAGAAGGGTATTAAATTGTATTATTATCTTGAGATAGATATCCGCAAGATGTTTTCTTCCATTTAACATCAGTGGCTCTGCAGTTTTAGGTACAGTAATTTGCATGATTATCAGACGGGTTTCTAAAGGTTCGCAATAAGGTCAGCTGCGAAAATAGCTATAGTATGTGAAGTTTGGTTGACTTCTTCATTAATTTCAGGCAGTTGTTGCTGGTCTTCAGGTTTAGCTTTCACTTGGCTTAGAGCTGAGCTGAAAAAAAAAATGAAATTCTTTTGTCTGTTATTATTATATGTACAAGTTATTCTTTTTGCTGAATATTATTTCCTTGACAGACGTGGAACAGTGCACAATGATAAAGATTCAGTTATTTGGCATGTTCTTTTGAATAGATATTCTGCCATAGTTTCTTTTGAGGCATAAGTAAGATACTTTCAAGATTTAATTTTTTTTAGTAAAGAATTTAGAATGATTACAAAAACCTATTGTTTTTGCAAAAAGTTGATGGAAAGAAGGGTAAACGCTTTTTTCCATTCAAAAACAGCCATTCCTTTGTTGCGTCATTTGATCAGTATTGGATGTTCTGCCCGTGTTTCTAAAAATATTTTCTGGCTAGAACTCCTTTGTCATATTTCCTTGTTAGTTTACGGCTGGACTTTATAGCGTATCTAATTTGCTTTTTTGTCCAAAAACTGCAACGAGATGATTTTCTTCTTTTGCTAGGCGGGAGTGAGGTTTATATGCTTTTACCATGCTAGCAATGATTTTTCTCTCGAGTGACTTTTTGAAATCTGTTGGTGAGAAGGCAGTGGGGAAAGAAATCTTTGCTGAAAATCATGCTTTCTTTGCTGTTCCACTAAAGTTTCTTTCAATGCTTAGTTGCAACGTGGTGTTTTGTAGCCGATTTTTCTTTTTTTTTTTTCCTTGGCAAATTTCGTTTAAAGAATTGGTTTGAAGAACAACAGGTGGACTTTAATTTGTCTGTGGGTTTTATCCAGTCTCCCGACTAGTCAAGCAACTAACCTATAATTCTTAAGTCCTGTTAGATTAGTCGCTGTTATCTTTATCAGACAAGATTTCTTATACCCTGTTTCCAAAACTTTTGGGCTTGTTGTCTGTCATTTGTTTTATTAATCGTTTCGCACTTACGTTTTTCGAACAACCAAACAGGAACTTTACGCATGCAATTAAAGTTTCTAGAAGCATATTTGGTTGCATTTACTTCCGTTTTACAGTTCCATGTTTTGCGCATTTGCTTAATGCGAATTGCTTGAAAATTTCTCTGTCAAGCTGTATTTTACGACAATTATTGTTTCTAATTGCTATATTTTTTTGTTTTGACTTGCTAGTTTTTGGTGAATTCCACTTTTTGTTAGATGTTTGGAGCAATGGACTCAATGAATGAACAGTTTTTTTTAGAAATTTTCTGTCTAGCGTATCATAAGTCGCTAAGGCAATGTTGAGGAAACAACCAAGTTAACGCAGGAAACAGTCTTGAAAAAATTTTGAAAGTTTTTCGTCTTGTGTTAACTTTATGAATTCCCTGGTTTCTGTAGAAACTAAAAACAGTGCTTGTGAATATTATACTTTAAGTTCTGTCAGTTGTACGTTTTTAAAGAAAATAATTACTTTTTTTTAATGCTCTAAAATGTTGTCGAATGGCTACCAAGAAACTACTAATTTTTTATGAAGATTGGCCTATGCAATGGTCCGTTAAGGTGTAATTGAAATTTATACGCAAACTTGAATTCAGTATTTATTAGTATTTACCTCTTCTGTCCATTCTACTAAATGTTCTTTTTTTTTTTTGCATTCAAAATCCACGGGACCCAAACAGTGCGTTTGCTTCTCTGCTTGATAGTCTGGGAGTAGAAGTATTACCTGTTATGGTGGCGGATACCGTCCGAAAGTTATTCATTATGTAGTGGTCATCATTTGCTTTTGGAACTAGAAAGAAGGAAATGGCAATGGTGTTAAAACAGTTTTATTTTGTTTTGCGTTCACTTGACACCTGACTACTAGAAAAGTAGGCCAGAAACAAGTTTATTTGGAATGAACGGACATCTCTCTTGCCTGACTTCATCAATATTATGCAGTAACACTTCAGTAATGGTCTATTGCTAATAGTCAGGAATTTAGCAGCATCTACCACCAATTAGTTACTCATCCTGCAAACAACGCTAGATTAGACGTGCTGTAAAACTATCATTTATTTTATGGCGATGGCGCATGGAAAATTCATCGTTTCGTTCGATGGCAACCAAACTGTATAGTTAATGCCACTCGTAAAAAAATTGCATTTTAGGCTTCTTCCAAATAAGCGAGTAGCGCAGGTTAGTAGTAGATATACACGTAAAGTGTCCGCAGTTATTTCATGAGCC